ATCAAAGATCAAAATCATACTTTCACTTCGAACAAAATATTTCCTTAAAATGTCTAAAAAGTCTGGTTAACGATTTTGTCATTCATAGATGAATTAAAATCATTTGGGATAAATATGGCTCCTTTTTATAGGATGACATGTAGCGGACAAATGTTCCAAGGTCACACTTGTATTTCAAAAGTCATGATATGAGAGTGCACTTGTGGCCATGTCCAGTCCATATAATTATGTCTTATTCAGCGAGTCTTTTTAGCTAAAAATAAATACATGGTACTTTGAAACAATTTGTATTGAGTGAAAAAAGAATTGTCGCATAAAGAAAGATTTCAGACATAAAAGGTAATATTTCATTTCATATACATATTTTGAAGGTCATGTCCGGTCAGAATTCTGTCATTCATTGAATGACTATTGGCGTAACTAGGCATACATTTGTGGCACATTTGGACTACTTGTAATGTTTAAACACTAGGTTGCTAGCTCGATAGGTCAATTTAGAACATTGATGGTTGTGTCTATATCTTTGTCATTTATTCATGGATTCTTTTTAAAATAATAAGAAATACTGCAGATATAAATAAATGCTTCTTAATGTTTCTAATTTTTGTAAAACTTGTAAGACTACAGTAACCATGCCTTCAATGTAAAAAATGGAAAACAAGATTAACAAGGAAAGGTGGCGTTCAATGAACGCAACCCCAACACGACCCAGCAACAAAGTTAATGGATCCTTAACTGAGCCGAGCTTCAGAGACATTTCAAGTGTCACGTCCTTGTTTATCTTTGTTTTACATAATTGTCAGGATAGTGCAAAAATAGTGTGTATACGTTTTAGTGACTAAAATTACACTAAGAAATACCAAAGTAATTTTATGGAGTGATAGCTGAAAAAATATGAGATAAAATAATCATATTGTGGCAAATGACATCAATAATATGTTATATCATAATGGAATAAGGTACTCATCAATTTCTTGACAAAGTGACATAATTATAATGTAGACGTTAATATTAACTAAGACAATGAATACATACCAATGAATAAAGACAAAACGCAAAAAATCTCGTAATTTCAGTTAAGTAAATAAAATTTAAAGACATAGGCTTCGAGGGCATATATTTTACATGATTTAGTAGCAAAAAACCAAAATGCTCTATCAAATCATTCTGTGTTAATAATAAGGGGTAAAAAGCAGTGAATCGTCAATATATCAATTGCAGTATTGGTATCAATTAACTGTGTAATCTTCTATGCATGTACCATCATCAAATACTCGCGGTAGACCTATAATGTTTTACTCTATATTATTCATTATCCATAAGACAGTGTAAGCTCGTAGTCTGTTTATGTTTCATGTTTGGCAGACTTTTTTTCCAAAGTGAAAGATAATAAAGATTAAAATGACTATTCCATTTATTTGAGTTTATTTCAATTAATAAATAGATGATCTGTTTTTTACCATGTCTAGGCATGTTTAAAGTTTGATTGATAAATACGACCCTTTATAAAGTAGGTATATCAATACGACAATAAAACATATCATATAAACACATCTGCACATATTTCTAAATTCCAAATTTCACAATTTCCCCCTTTGATATATAAATTTTGCGTAAGCCGGTGCTAGGGTGCTTGGACTGTTCCTTGCAATTTCCAGTAACGTCCATGTTTAGGCTCAATCAAATCGAGCCTACAATGTTTTCAATTTTGTCATTTGATTGTTTTTTAGGGATTCTGTTGTTGTTGTTTTTTTTTTAAAGAAAACTTGTAATTTAATGGTAAATTAAAATGTGCAGGTTTAATGTAAGACATTTGGGATCTCATGCAGATACCTGATAAAGATTAATTGTCCAAAAAGAATGACCTGTGATAGTTTGAAGTAATGATGTAAATTAAATTGTGCAGTATACCTACACAGTGTGTACAATTCGACATGACATATTGCTCATATCATTATACAATTTTTGATACTCATTCCTACAGAAGTATCCATTTGTTTTATATTTGTATAAAAAGGTATCCATTTTGAAATCAAAGATGGTCGGCATAGCAGTCAATGTGTAAAGCATGTATAATTATCAGCCAATTATTCTTAAAAGTAATTGAAACTTTATTCCATGTAGATTAACGGACATACGATACGATATGTACCAGAAATAATAATTTTTTAAGTAGATGGTAAAGGACAATGTCGGCCATTTTGATTTGACCTTTAGAAGGTCAAGGACTTCAAGTACAGCTGTGGTAAAGCAAAAAATGGACTCAGCGTACCCGAATTATGTAAAAACGATTGACTACCTGCTTGTACTAAAAAATGCCGTTAGACTCTTTAACTTTTCTGAAAATCAAACCCGTCTATTAACCTATTCCGGCAAGTTGGATTTATCGTATATTTCTCTTAATTGCTTAATTTATTTCATGATATCTTGCATAATTGGTAGGTGGATACCTTTACTGGACCTCTAATTTTCGAGTAAGTGGTCTCTAGGGTCAAGGTCAAGGTCACTGGTTTAGAAAAATAAATTTAAACATTTTTGCTCATACAGCCCTCATTTCTTTGGTTGATGTCTTTCATGTTTAATGCAAACATGCCAAGGGAGGTCCTCCTTTTTATGCTCCCCGAAAAATTTCGGGGGAGCATATAGTCGGCGCCTTGTCCATCTGTCCGTCCGTCCGCACTCACAGGACGGTAATTATGTGGCTAGAGGGACAATAGGTAACTGTTCTTTCTCTTTGATGTCATTCATTCCGTAATGCTTTTATGTGGCTATTTTCTTTTGCGTGGCTAAAAAGAACAATAGAGAGAACAATAGAGTAGCCACATAATTACTGTCCTGTGAGAACATCCGTCCGTCTGTTCGTCCGTTGTCTTGTCCGGAGCATAACTTGAAAACCCTTGGAGATAATTTGTTGAAACTTCATACAGTGGTAGAGGGCATTGAGGGGGAGTGCAGTGTCAAAGTACCATAACTCTATTTTGCCCGGTTTTTGAATTATCTCCCCTTATAGAAAAATCATGTCCGGGGCATAACTCTTAAATTATAAGACATATCAACATGAAACTTTGTAGGTGGATAGATCTCAATGGGTAGATGTGCAGTGCATAAGAACAATAACTCTTTTTGTCCTAATTTTGGAGTAATTGCCCTTTGTTAATTTTAACACTTTGAACTTTGTCCGGAACATAACTCTAAAACTATAAGAGATATCAAGATGAAACATTGTAGGTAGATAGACCTCATTGAGTAGAGGTGCAGTGCAAAAGAACCATAACTCTGTTAAGCCTCATTTTTGAATTATCTCCCCTTTTAGGAAAATCTTGTCCAGGACAAAGCTGTAAAACTATGAGAGATATCAACATGAAACTTTGTAGGTAGATACATCTCAATGGGTAGATTTGCAGTGCACAAGAATCATTACTCTGCCTTGCCTAATTCTGGAGTTATTGCCCTTTGTTTATTTTTACTTTTTGAAGTTGTCAGGGACATAACTCGGAAATCGTAAGAGATATCATCAAGAAACTTTGTAGGTTGATAGATCACATTGATTAGAAGTGCAGTGCAAAGAACAGTAATTCTGCCTTGCCTAATTTTGGAATTTTTGCACTTTGAACTTTTTCCAGGGACCTAACATTGAAACTAAAAGAGGTGTACTTTCCTGTGTCCAAAACCTATTCGGGGAGCATAACCCGGCTCAAACCGGGCTCTTGTTGTATACAGATGTCGAGTCTGATGATATGTTCCATTGTGTTAAATTTAATTGGCTAAAAATCTAAATTTTCTGAGTTAAGAAAGAAAATATCTTGGAGTTCTATATCAGACAGTCAAGTTCCATATAAGAATGAGTAATTTTTATGATTATCTTCCACTATGTAGACCTTTTTTTTCATTTAAAGTGTATGCACTGTATCAGAGGCTGGAAAAAAATCTAACATTTGTGAGGTGTCAAAACACATCTGATAAGAACGTATACATTTATCTATTAAATTTTTATGGTATGGTAGAAAAAGCAAATTTTTAATTTCAGATATCGTAACAGAGGAGGATGGTCTTGAAAATGAAGATATGGAAACAGAGGAGGATGGTCATGAAAATGAAGATGGTGAAAGTGTCTTAGAGAGAAATGGTAATAAGGATAATGTATTTGATACTTGTCTCAAATAGTTATCAGTACTTAAATATTAAGCTTAATCATAGAATAGATAACTGAATAATTTTGAATTTTGAAATTGTTGTTCTTCAATAAATAATTTTCTTAAATAATGAAAATTGGTTATATACTGGTTAGTCAACAAATATTCCAAATCATATTCCAGTCATCATTGTTTAGAGAAATTCTTAAAAGGTAAAAAAAAAATCAATAAAGTTTCTCAAAGTTTAAAGAAAATAATAGATATATTGTGGTGGTAAGAATTATCAAATGCTAGCATATAATAATATCGCTCCACGAAAAATTTCAGGGGAGCATATAGTCGTCGGGTTGTCGGTCCGTCTGTACGTATGTCCCGAATTTGTGTGAAGTCTGATTTTAAAATTATTTGACAGAAATGATCACCATATTGAGACGCTGTGTCGCGCGCAACAATTGGGTAGCTACCTTTGAAGGTCAAGGTCACAGCATGACCTTGTAGCAAAATTGTGTCCGGTCCATAACTTCATTATTTGAAGTTGGACTTTAAAACTATTTCACAGAGATGATCACCATATTGAATCGACATGTTGCATGCAAATTTGGGTTGCTACCTTAAAGGTCAAGGTCACAGCATGACCTTGCAGCAAAATCGTGTCCGGCCCATAACTTTATTATTTGAAGTCAGATTTTACAACTATTTCACAGAAATGATCACCATCTTGAGACAATGTGTCGCAAGCAACATTTGGGTTGTTTTTACACTTTGAACTTTGTCTGTGACATAACTCTGACACTACAAGAGGTATACCTTCCTGTGTCCAAAACCTATTTAGGGAGTATCACCCAGTTCAACTGGCTCTTGTTTGGGTATAGTAAGGGGTCATTTGGGTCAAGGTCAATGTCACCAATGTCAAGGTCACCAATGTTAAAAATAGATTTTTACATTTTTACAGGTGTATTAACCATATTCTATAGACAGATGTCATTTATAATTGATAGGAACATAAAATTTGATGGAGTTAGTGGTCAGTTGGGTCAAGGTCACCAGTGCTAAAAATAGATGTTTACACTTTTGCTCATACAGCCTTTATTTATTGACAGATATATTTCGTATTTGGTAGGAAGATAACTTGCATGGTATTCATCCTTTTGATTGGGGTAGGGATCAGTGGGTCAAGGTCACTTGTGCTAAAAATAGATTTTTATGCCCCCGCCATATAATGGCAAGGGCATATAGTGTTACCCTGTTCCGTCATTCCGTCATTCCGTAATTCCGTCATTCCGTCCTTCCGTCATCATCAGTTTCCGTTCATTATCTTAATAACCATTGCACATATTGAACTCGAATTTGACATATAGATATGTCATGAGAAAATACAGGTCAAGTTCGAAATTGGTCATGGTCCGATGATATTTGGCAGAGTTATGCCCCTTTTACTTTGAAAATAATATGAAATTTTCAGTTTCCGTTCATTATCTCCCTAACGGTACAACACATTCAACTCAAACTTGACATATGGATATGTCATGAGAAAATACAGGTCAAGTTCAAATTTGGTCATGGTTCGATGATTTTTGGCAGAGTTATGCCCCTTTTACTTTGAAAATAATATGAAATTTTCAGTTTCCGTTCATTAACTCCCCAATGGTACAACACATTCAACTCAAACTTGACATATGGATACGTCAAAGGAATGCGCAGGTCAAGTTCAAATTTGGTCATGGTTTGATGATTTTTGGCAGAGTTATGCCCCTTTCACTTTGAAAATAATATGAAATTTTCAGTTTCCGTTCATTATCTCCCCAATGGTACAACACATTCAACTCAAACTTGACATATGGATATGTCATGAGAAAATACAGGTCAAGGTCGAATTTGGTCATGGTTCGATGATTTTTGGCAGAGTTATGCCCCTTTTACTTTGAAAATAATATGAAATTTTCAGTTTCCGTTTATTATCTCCCCAACAGTATTACACATTCAACTCAAATTTGACATATGGATATGTCAAAGGAATGCGCAGGTCAAGTTCAAATTTGGTCATGGTTCAATGATTTTTGGCAGAGTAATGCCCCTTTCACTTTGCGAATGATATGAAATTTACAGTTTCTGTTCATTATCAACCCAACAGTGTTACATATTCAACTCAAAATTGTCAAAGGAATGCGCAGGTCAAGTTGGAATTTGGTCATGGTTTGATGATTTTTTTGGCAGAGTTATGTCCCTTTCACTTTGAAAATAATAAGATACATCTTAGGAATAAGCAGTTTAAGTTGGAATTTGGTCGTTGTTCAATGATTTTGGACAAACTTATCTTTCCTGAAAAATTTTGAACTTTCAGTTTCAGCACTCATACTTTTGTGGAAATGTATATAGCCATTATTTTGGCTACAAATATGCAATATGCTATTTTCAAAAGGTTAAGACTGAATAATTTCAGTGCCTTGAACATTGTATAAAAATGGTTTGTGTTAACATTGAAAAGTTTTAAGGGCTTTGAACATAGAATGAAAAAAATGATTTGTGCAAACAAATTTGGAACTAAATATTATAACATTTGAAATTTTGGCTGCATGCGGGGGCATCCGTGGCATGATGACACATTTCTAGTTACACTTTTGCCCATATAGGCTTTATTTATTGACAGGTGTATTTCATATTTGATAGGAAGATAACTTGCATGGTATTCTTCCTTTTGATTGAGTTAGGGATCAGTGTGTCAAGGTCACTAGTGCTAAAAATAAATTTTTACACTATTGCCCATACAGCCTTTATTTATTGACAGATATATTTCATATTTGATAGGAAGATAACTTGCATGTTATTCTTTCTTTGGATAGAGTTAGGGGTCAGTTGGGTCAAGGTCACAAGTGCTAAAAATAGATTTTTACACTTTTGCCCATACAGCCTTTATTTATTGACAGATTTATTTCATATTTGGTTGGAAGATAACTTGCATGGTATTCTTCCTTTGGATGGAGTTAGGGGTCAGTTTGATCAAGGTCATCAATGCTCAAAATAGATTTTAACATTTTTGCCCATACAGCCTTTATTTATTGACAGGTGTATTTCATATTTGGTAGGAAGATAACTTGCATGATATTCTATAGGTGTCAGTGGGTCAAGGTCAAGGGTGCCAAGTATAGATTTCTTACATTTATATATATTTGATAAAGTTGAATATTTATCACTTCACAAGTCATAGCAATGACTTGGCAACTTATACATGTATATTTCACAATTACAAAATGCCATGACTCTGTCAAGCTATATAACTTGTGTTTTCAATTTTTGGCAGTGTTTCTGTCTATAACTGAGTGAATAGGTAAACATTTTTAGCTCACCTGTCACAAAGTGACAGGGTGAGCTTTTGTGATGGCTTTTCGTCCGTTGTCCGTCCGTCGTCCGTCCGTCCGTAAAGTTTTACTTTAAATAACATCTCCTCATAAACCACTAAGCAAATTTCATCCAAACTTCACAGGAATGTTCCTTTGGTGGTCACCTTTAAAAATTGTTCAAAGGATTTAATTCCATGCAGAACTCTGGTTGCCATGGCAACCGAAAGAAAAAACTTTAAATATCTTCTTTTAAAAAACCCTAAGAGCTAGAGCTTAGATATTTGGTATGAAACATCTTCTAGCAAGTGTCTACCAAGTTTGTTCAAATAAAAGCCCTGGGGTCAAAATTGGCCCCGCCCCAGGGGGTCATTGATTTTCCCTATATGTATATAGTAAAAGCTTAAAAAATCTTCTTTTAAAGAACCCAAAGAGCTAGAGCTAAAATATTTAGCATGAAACATCTTCTAATGGTCGTCTACCAAGTTTGTTCAAATAAAAGCCATGGGGTCAAAATTGGCCCCGCCCCAGGGGGTCATTGATTTTTCCTATATGCATATAGTAAAAACTTAAAAATCTTCTTTTAAAGAACCCAAAGAGCTAGAGCTAAGATATTTAGCATGAAACATGTTCTAATGGATGTCTACCAAGTTTGTTCAAATAAGAGCCCTGGGGTCAAAATAGGCCCCGCCCCAGGGGGTCATTGATTTTTCCTATATGCATATAGTAAAAACTTAGAAATCTTCTTTTAAAGAACACAAAGAGCTAGAGCTAACATATTTAGCATGAAACATGTTCTAGCAAGTGTCTACCAAGTTTGTTCAAATAAAAGCCCTGGGGTCAAAATTGGCCCCGCCCCAGGGGGTCATTGATTTTCCCTATATGAATATAGTAAAAACTTAAAAAATCTTCTTTTAAAGAACCCAAAGAGCTAGAGCTAAGATATTTAGCATGAAACATGTTCTAATGGATGTCTACCAAGTTTGTTCAAATAAGAGCCCTGGGGTCAAAATTGGCCCCGCCCCAGGGGATCATTGATTTTCCCTATATGAATATAGTAAAAACTTAAAAATCTTCTTTTAAAGAACCCAAAGAGCTAGAGCTTAGATATGTAGCATGAAACATGTTCTAATGGATGTCTACCAAGTTTGTTCAAATAAGAGACCTGGGGTCAAAATTGGCCCCGCCCCGGGGGACATTAATTTTCCTTATATGTGTATAGCAAAAACTTAAAAATCTTCTTCGAAAAAACCAGAATAGCTAGAGTTTAGATATTAAGCATGAAACATTTCTAGTAAGTGTCTACAAAGATTGTTCAAATAAAAGCCCTGGGGTCAAAACTGGCCCTGCCCCAGGGGGTCATTGTTTATAAACATATGTGTAAAGAAAAAACTTAAAAAATCGTCTTTTAAAAAAAACCTTAGATGTTTAGCATGAAACATCTTCTAATGGGTGTCTACCAAGTTTGTTCAAATAAAAGCCCTGGGGTTTAAACTGGCTCCCCTCCATGTGGCCTATATACAGGTGAGCGACTTCAGGGCCATCATGGCCCTCTTGTTTGAAATATTGCTACTGACAAGAATCAGTGCTGGAGGCATTTGTGTTTAACAAACACGTTCTTGTTGTCATCTGTAATACACATGGGGATATATTAAAAAAGGATTCATACTTTGACAAAACTAATGTGACAAGACACAATGATTAAATTTATAAAAAGGAAACGTCAAGATTTGTTCAAACGTTTATTTGTTTGCTTTTAAAAAAAGTAAAAAGTCGAGAGTTGCCCCCGCCCAGCGGTGGCTCTTGTTATGGGTTGAAGTCGAGTAACATGGATTTTAAATGAATTGATAGAATTTTCTTTTACTTCTTGTCAAAATTCTGTCAGCATTTTCAAGGTCTCCAAATGTTCCTAGTTATACTCAAGCACAATGAAGTTGTAAGGGGTGTATACTGGAATCGGCTTGTCCGTCTGAATGTCCAGATGTCTCCTTGTCTATTGGTTTTTAGCTCACCTGAGCACAAAGTGCTCAAGGGTGAGCTTTTGTCATCACTCTGTGTCCGTCGTGCGTCCTTCAAAAAATGGCGTCAAACTTTTCAAACAACATCTCCACCTAAACCACATGGCCAATTGCAACCAACTTTACAGAAATGATCCTTAGGTGGACCCCTTTCAAAGTTGTTCAAAAATTTAAATTCCATTAAAAACTCTGGTTGCCATGGCAGCCAATAGGAAAAACTTAAAAAATCTTCTTTTAAAAAACCCTAAGAGCTAAAGCTTAGATATTTGGCATGAAACATCCTCTAATGAGTGTCTACCAAGTTTGTTCAAATCAAAGCCCTGGGGTCAAAATTGGCCCCACCCCAGGGGGTCATTGATTTTCCCTATATGCATATAGTAAAAACTTAAAAAATCTTCTTTTAAATAACTCAAAGAGCTAGAGCTAAAATATTTAGCATGAAACATGTTCTAATAGGTGTCTACCAAGTTTGTTCAAATAAAAGCCCTGGGGTCAAAATTGGCCCCGTGCCAGGGGTCATAAATTTTCCTTATCTGTGTATAGCAAAAGCTTAAAAAATCTTCTTTGAAAAAACACAAATAGCTGGAGTTTAGATATTTAGCATGGAACATCTTCTAGTGAGTGTCTACAAAGTTTGTTCAAATAAAAGCCCTGGGGTCAAAATTGGCCCCGCGCCGGGGGTCATTGATTTTTCTTATATGTGTATAGCAAAAACTTAAAAATCTTCTTTGAAAAAACCCAAATAGCTAGAGTTTAGATATTAAGCATGAAACATCTTGTAGTGAGTGTCTACCAAGTTTGTTCAAATAAAAGCCCTGGGGTCAAAATTGGGCCCGCCCCAGGGGGTCTTTGATTTTCCCTATATGCATATAGTAAAAACTTAAAAAATCTTCTTTTAAAGAACCCAAAGAGCTAGAGCTAAGATATTTAGCATGAAATATCTTGTAATGAGTGTCTACCAAGTTTGTTCAATAAAAGCCCTAGGGTCAAAATTGGCCCCGCCCCAGGGGGTCATTGATTTTCCCTATAGGCATATAGTAAAAATTTAAAAAATCTTCTTTTAAAGAACTCAAAAAGCTAGAGCTAACATATTTAGCATGAAACATGTTCTAATGGGTGTTTACCAAGTTTGTTCAAATAAAAGCCCTGGGGTCAAAATTGGCCCTGCCCCAGGGGGTCTTTGATTTTCCCTATATGCATATAGTAAAAACTTAAAAAAGCTTCTTTTAAAGAACCCAAAGAGCTAGAGCTAAGATATTTAGCATGAAATATCTTGTAATGAGTGTCTACCAAGTTTGCTCAAATAAAAGCCCTAGGGTCAAAATTGGCCCCTCCCCAGGGGGTCATTGATTTTCCCTTTATGCATATAGTATAAACTTCAAAATCTTCTTTTAAAAAACTCAAAGAGCTAGAGCTAAGATATTTATCATGAAACATGTTCTAATGGGTGTCTACCAAGTTTGTTCAAATAAGAGCCCTGGGGTCAAAATTGGCCCCGCCCCAGGGGGTCATTGATTTTCCTTATATGTTTATAGCAAAAACTTAAAAAATCTTCTTTTAAAAAACCCAAATAGCTGGAGTTTAGATATAAAGCATGAAACATCTTCTAGTGAGTGTCTACAAAGTTTGTTCAAATAAAAGCCCTGGGGTCAAAATTGGCCGCGCGCTGGGGGTCATTGATTTTCCTTACATGTGTATAGCAAAAACTTAAAAATCTTCTTTGAAAAAACCCAAATAGCTAGAGTTTAGATATTAAGCATGAAACATCTTGTAGTGAGTGTCTACCAAGTTTGTTCAAATAAAAGCCCTGGGGTCAAAATTGGCCCTGCCCCAGGGGGTCTTTGATTTTCCCTATATGCATATAGTAAAAACTTAAAAAAGCTTCTTTTAAAGAACCCAAAGAGCTAGAGCTAAGATATTTAGCATGAAATATCTTGTAATGAGTGTCTACCAAGTTTGCTCAAATAAAAGCCCTAGGGTCAAAATTGGCCCCTCCCCAGGGGGTCATTGATTTTCTCTTTATGCATATAGTATAAACTTAAAAATCTTCTTTTAAAAAACTCAAAGAGCTAGAGCTAAGATATTTATCATGAAACATGTTCTAATGGGTGTCTACCAAGTTTGTTCAAATAAGAGCCCTGGGGTCAAAATTGGCTCCGCCCCAGGGGGTCATTGATTTTCCTTATATGTTTATAGCAAAAACTTAAAAAATCTTCTTTTAAAAAACCCAAATAGCTGGAGTTTAGATATTAAGCATGAAACATCTTCTAGTGAGTGTCTACAAAGTTTGTTCAAATAAAAGCCCTGGGGTCAAAATTGGCTCCGCCCCGGGGGTCATTGATTTTCCTTATATGGGTATAGCAAAAACTTAAAAATCTTCTTTTAAAAAACCCTAAGAGCTAGAGCTTAGATATTTGGCATGAAACATCCTCTAATGAGTGTCTACCAAGTTTGTTCAAATCAAAGCCCTGGGGTCAAAATTGGCCCCACCCCAGGGGGTCATTGATTTTCCCTATATGCATATAGTAAAAACTTAAAAAATCTTCTTTTAAAGAACTCAAAGAGCTAGAGCTAAAATATTTAGCATGAAACATGTTCTAATAGGTGTCTACCAAGTTTGCTCAAATAAAAGCCCTGGGGTCAAAATTGGCCCCGTGCCAGGGGTCATAAATTTTCCTTATCTGTGTATAGCAAAAGCTTAAAAAATCTTCTTTGAAAAAAACCCAAATAGCTGGAGTTTAGATATTTAGCATGGAACATCTTCTAGTGAGTGTCTACAAAGTTTGTTCAAATAAAAGCCCTGGGGTCAAAATTGGCCCCGCGCCGGGGGTCATTGATTTTCCTTATATGTGTATAGCAAAAACTTAAAAATCTTCTTTGAAAAAACCCAAATAGCTAGAGTTTAGATATTAAGCATGAAACATCTTGTAGTGAGTGTCTACCAAGTTTGTTCAAATAAAAGCCCTGGGGTCAAAATTGGGCCCGCCCCAGGGGGTCTTTGATTTTCCCTATATGCATATAGTAAAAACTTAAAAAATCTTCTTTTAAAGAACCCAAAGAGCTAGAGCTAAGATATTTAGCATGAAATATCTTGTAATGAGTGTCTACCAAGTTTGTTCAATAAAAGCCCTAGGGTCAAAATTGGCCCCGCCCCAGGGGGTCATTGATTTTCCCTATAGGCATATAGTAAAAATTTAAAAAATCTTCTTTTAAAGAACTCAAAAAGCTAGAGCTAACATATTTAGCATGAAACATGTTCTAATGGGTGTTTACCAAGTTTGTTCAAATAAGAGCCCTGGGGTCAAAATTGGCCCCGCCCCAGGGGATCATTGATTTTCCCTATATGAATATAGTAAAAACTTAAAAATCTTCTTTTAAAGAACCCAAAGAGCTAGAGCTTAGATATGTAGCATGAAACATGTTCTAATGGATGTCTACCAAGTTTGTTCAAATAAGAGACCTGGGGTCAAAATTGGCCCCGCCCCGGGGGTCATTGATTTTCCTTTTGTGTGGATATAGCAAAAACTTGAAAAATCTTCTTTGAAAAAAAAACAACAAATAGTAAGTGTCTACAAAGATTGTTAAAAAAAGCCCTGGGGTCAAAACTGGCCCTGCCCCAGGGGGTCATTGTTTATAAACATATGTGTAAAGAAAAAACTTAAAAAATCGTCTTTTAAAAAAAACCTTAGATGTTTAGCATGAAACATCTTCTAATGGGTGTCTACCAAGTTTGTTCAAATAAAAGCCCTGGGGTTTAAACTGGCTCCCCTCCATGTGGCCTATATACAGGTGAGCGACTTCAGGGCCATCATGGCCCTCTTGTTTGAAATATTGCTACTGACAAGAATCAGTGCTGGAGGCATTTGTGTTTAACAAACACGTTCTTGTTGTCATCTGTAATACACATGGGGATATATTAAAAAAGGATTCATACTTTGACAAAACTAATGTGACAAGACACAATGATTAAATTTATAAAAAGGAAACGTCAAGATTTGTTCAAACGTTTATTTGTTTGCTTTTTAAAAAAGTAAAAAGTCGAGAGTTGCCCCCGCCCAGCGGTGGCTCTTGTTATGGGTTGAAGTC